TTTTTTTTTTTTTTTTTTTTTTGTACCAGGGATCAAACTTGGGACCTTGCATTTGTGAGGCAGGCAGCAGCATCACTGAGCTAAATCCCGGGCCAAGAGCAAGCTTTTAATTGGCAAAACCAGGAGATTACCCACCCAGGGTGCAAAGTGGCTGGGAGATTGTATGTAGAGGACAGCCCAATGCAGGACAACTAGTGAGCAATAGCTCCTCCAGAGCTCCCCGCTGGGCTGGCTGAGTTTTGCTTGGGCCTGCTCACTTCCTCCCAGCTCACGTGCTCCCTATGCTTACGCTTGTTTTCTCCACCTCAGTCCTTATCTCACTGTGCACTTCCAGAATTCCAACCTGCAACAACAGTAATGACAGGCAAGTTTCGGGAGCAGCCAATGCCACACCTACCTGCTGCTCCATCTGCACCCCTGACTACCTGGTCTCCCGTCGGTGAGGGTGCCCCACATCTTCCTGTTCCCAACAGGGCTGCCCCTCTCCTGTGCTATGTATGGGTCCTCTGTCAATCACCTGTCACTCACTCAGCTTGCCTAATGTGTTCCTTTCTACGGGATCCTTTCAATAGCATATACTAAAAACCTGTTGCTGCCTTTCTTATTTAAATAATAAGTCAAAGTTCTCCTGCAGCCATTACCTGTTTTCTGAATGAGCTGCTTTAACGTCTCAGCTCCCATGCTTCCTCCAGCTCTATCATTTCACTTCCTTGAACTCCATCAACTGATCAGGTCTTGGTTCTTGTAACACACTGCTAAATTTAATGAAAGGTCCTCAGTCCCCACCTTACCTGACCTCTCAGCACTCTTAGGCACACTAAGCTTTTCTTCAGGAGCCTCACTGTCTGGCTTTCCCCTTTGCCCACAGCTTCTCAGTCTCCTGTGCTACTTTCTTCTTGTCATCACTTCTACACGTTGGCTCACCTCAGAGGTATCCCTTGGCTCCATCTACACTCATTCCTCAGCTAATGTGGTCCGGTTGTAGGCTTTAAACACTATTTACATGGACATAGCTTGTGGTATTTTCTTTCCAGCCCTGACTATTTCTCTGAATCTCCACCTGGCTTGACATCACTGGGTGTAATGTAATATGATTCAACTCTGATTGGAACTATCAGATCAGGCATCAGATTCCATAAGCTAATGGGAATTATCCTTCACACAGTAGCCTTCAGTTCACACCAGCTGCCAGTGGGGGCCCCAGGCCACCCGCATTTCTTTCTTTT